CGCACAACACACACGCACGCACGCCCAGACCTTACACACCCACCGCAACCCTATCTTCTTCAGCGGTAGCGGCAGCCGCCTCCTTGCGCCGCTCCGGCTCTGCCCGTCCGCCCCCCCCCCCCCGCCTCCCGCTCCCTTTCCCTCCCCTCTATTGTTCAGACCGGCTTTTGCTTGGACGTCCTCGCCCACAAGCCGCCTTCTCACAATTCGTGCCGGCGGTTCTCCTCGCTGGACAAGGCCCCCCCCCCCCCCCCCCCCCCTCCCCCCCCCCCCCCCCCCCCCCTCCCCCCGGTTCCCCCCCCCCCCCCTCCCCGTCGCCAGAAAGGCGAAGCCCACCGAGCCAAACCCACCGGAGGTGGGCGGCAGAAGCGATGACAGCTCCACGTTTGCGGAGCCCCGTCGCCGCCGGCTTATTGCCGAAGGATGTCCCCCAAAGCCGAGCCCGCTCTCGCTTCCTTTGAAGGCTCATTGTTGTTTGCGAGCGGCTTTGGCAGGACTTCCTGAGAGGAGCGGGAAAAGAAGCGCGGGAAGGGCGAAGGGGTGCGGGAGGGGGGGGCGCGTTTACTAGGGGAGGCCAAGAGATTGAGGGGCTTCCTCTTTCTGTACCGTTGTGGGCTACCTTCCCGGCCGAAACGGCCTCTCTTTTCCCATTCCCCCAACCCACCCGGCTCCCTTTCTCCTGCCTCCCGCCCAGCTTTCCTTTAAGATGAGTCACTTCCATTGACAGAAACTGCAATTAACGTCGTTTCTTTCTCGGGCGGAAGAGTTCAAGCAAACGGGGGCGTGGGGGAGGAGGAAGGGGAAAGGCGAGGAAATGTTCAGGTGCTTTTCGCTGGGGACCTAGGTGGGCAGAGGGCGGGGCAGGCTCCTGTTGAATTTCGGAGAGAGGAGGGGGCGTTTCTTGCGGACGCCACTTGGGTAATTGTGGCAGACAGGAGGATCGGGAGGCTTCGGAACAGCAATTAGAGGCCTTGACAGTTGCTGGAATAGGACTGGAAGTTCCATTTTTGAAGGTGTCCAAAAAAAAATAATTGTCTGCCCAAAAGGAAAATCGATAAAAGAGGAGGGGGCAAAATCACCCAATTTTTCAACAAGTGGTTTTTGTTTTTCTCCTTCAAGGAAAACTATTTCCAGCAGTGTGCATTTCAAACTGGTATCCATTCAGAAAGATCCCTATAAAATCACTTTCTTATTTACCTATGGTGCTTACATCCTTCAAGCTGTTTCTCTCTCTTTTTGTTTTCTTTTCATGTTTACAAGGGCTTGTTAAGTTCAGGTTTCAGGGTAGTGTTCACTTACAGCAACGGGCAGAGTTACTGTACAGATAATAAGAGAAAAGGGTCCACCAAGAACTAGATTTTCAGATTGCTGGAGACCTTGGGCTCAGACTGATGGGTTTATTTTTGAATCATGTTGAATCATTAAATGTACATATCAGGGGGGAAAAACAAGGGAAATTGACAAGAAAAAATTGAAATGACATTGATAGAAAGCTAGAAAGTTGAAATCAGAGTTGAAGTTGCAATGCTTGGATTATTGAACAGTAACAGAGCTTTAGCAAGTATGATTCAGTTTATAAATTTAAACTAAGAAACAAGATGGAATAGAGGGCAACTAGGTGGATATAATCTTAGGAAGGAAGGATAATAAATTGGTTGGTAATCTTTAATTATCTTCTCTTTATTGTACTGCTTTTCACCTTTTGTTTTCTTTTCATCTTTTTCTTTATTTTATATATGTTCTTGCTGTATTAATTAAAGAAGTTATATCCAATCGTCTATCTTTTATTCATGTAAAAAATCTTCAAAAAATTATATAAAGAAAAATGTATCAAATTTAGGAAATTGGAGAATGGGGGACACTATGAATGTGGTATGAACCCTTTGTGCAATATTATAATCCAAAAATGACATGCATTTGAGTTAAATTTTATAAAATTTTATGAGATTAAAAATATGAAATAATTTTTGATTTTGACACGTATTCCCATAACTCAGTTTATCATTCTTCTGTCTAAGGAATTAT